GATTTTTGGGCAGTGAGCAGTCATCTGATCTGATCTTCTTCCTCTAAGTGCCATTAACACTTTGTACCTTGTAGAACCATGACTTTCTCTCTCTTCCAGAATAAAATATCTTTGCATTCACAGGAGGTGCTGGTGTCTCACCTGGGATCTTTGGAGTCCTCCTACAGTCCCTATTTGATGCCACCCTGGAGTTCTCCAGGTGGCTGGGCCTGGGTTTATCATGTTCTTCATGGGGGAGGTGAACTCCTACTGAATCTTGCAATGCACTCACCCTGCAAAGAGAGCAGGCGATTTGGGAGCACTGGCTGGTGCATGTTAAAGCTGTTGGCTCCTGTAGTGGAGTCCCTAGCTCTGCTTACAGCAGAGCCAGCTCCCAAAGTGTAATGGTGCTGCAGCCCTGTGGTACCTTGCCGTTGAAGTGATGTTGGTTTGGGGAGATCTCTGGGGAAATGGCACCTGTCGATGCAGGGTCTGGGACCTGTCTTGGGTGTGGATGAAGTACAAAGCATCCACCCGCCTGCCCTGGAGGGACTGCAGGTGAAAGGTTTTGTGCCTCTGAGGCCCAGCTCCATGCAACTCCATTGCAGTTGGACCAGTCCCTGTCTCCATCACACTCCAGTGCTGGCTCCTTGGACCTGGGACAGAGATCTGCATGTTCCAGGAGCCGGGTAAGTGCCTCAGCTTTCACACCACCAAGGTCCTGCCACAGAGCAGGGCTCAGGGGACACGATGTACTTGACGGCTCTTGGCTGGTCGGCCCTAGAGCACCAGTGGGGCAGAGCCCTGGGAGCTCTTCTTGGCCACGCCAAGGTTTGCTGAGTCAGCGGCTGCAAGCAAGTCTTTCCATACTGATCTCTCCCAAGCCAGGGTTGGGTCTGTAGAAACCCAGAACCGGGGCTGGCAGAGGCCTTGTTCACACCTCTGCTAACTCGCAAGGGAGGTGTGTTCAGCTGCTCTCCCTTTGCTTGCAGCCTTCATCACTGATCCCTCTGGGCTGCTCTCATCTTCCTCAGAGCCTGCAGCAGGGAAGCTGTACCCTAGCCACCCCCAGTGCAACCATCACCTGCAGCCTGAGCTGCATGGTGCCCCGTGGCCCAGGCCTCTCAGAGCTCAGGGGTGGGGCAGGGTGCGGGGAAGCTGGGGCCAGCAAAGTACCAAGGCGTCTCTCCAGTTAGGTACAAGAAAATGGGGCAATTGAGCTGGAGGCACCGGTCCCTCTGAAATGCTGCCCGCTCCCTGTGCTGCTTGACCTGTGCAGGGCTCCAGGGCTGGCTGCTGGTAAGACCCACCCCAGCTGGGAGGTAGGAGGCCCTGGGCTGTGGATCCCAGTCTGCTGGGCATGCAGTATGGGTTGCTGAACTGAGCCAAGGCTCCAGGGACCTGCTGAGAGCACCTGGCTGCATCCTCTTTACTGTGCCTTAGTTTCTCCAGGTAGAAAATCGGTAGAGGGATCCTGCCCTCCTCTTGCCTACAGCTGCCAGAGCTGGGGCTGAGCCGCACAGGATCGGAAGGTCTCTCTTAGGCACTTGGTTCTCCTGCAGAGCAATGCCCGTGTGCTGGAGATGCTGAGCAACCTCCCTAGGGAGCTGGGGCACAGCCCAGAGGGCTTGGAGGGAAGGCAATCACGAAGCCTCTGTGTGCCATCTTTGGGGTGCTCCTCTCGTATCCCCAGCAAGGGGAAGATGCAATCCTCATACCCTTGGGCAGCGCTGCGCAGGCTTGGCCCTTGTGCAGTCGGGTACTGATTGCCACGAAACTGGGCACGCCGGGGCATTGCCTGGTGCAGTCCTCCTTGCAGGACTCAGCTCAGCGCTGCAGCTCCTTGCATCCTGGCTCTGCCCCTCCCAAGAGCCAGGTCCCACCTGGTGGGGGTCTGAGTCCCAGCCCCAGTCCCTGCTCACAGTGTGGATGTGACCTTGGGCTCTGATCCCTCTGCCCTTGTCCCCTGCGGGCACTGCAAAGGCAGGCGGCTTCTCCCAGCTCCTGTGCAAGCTGCTCTGAGGGGTGGGATCCTTTCAGGTCTCTGTTATCTTTGTACTGCTGGGGGCATGGCCCCTCCTAGCAACAGGGGAAGTTGTGTGGAAACCATACAGAGGGGCTGGGTGCACCAAGATACTCCATCTCCTTCCTTAAGCTATCCCCAAGGCTCCCAGCCTCAGCCCTGCTCCAGACTTGGGCACAGCCCAGCACTAGCCTGCTGCCCTGGAGACCTGGGAATGGGGCTGAGCCCCCATGAGTCTGGGGAGCACAGGCCACCCTCTTCCCCATCCCCCTACCCCACAGGACATGGAGTCACAGGCATGATCAGCTCCATCCAAGCTCCCCCAGGGCAATCCATGCCTGACCGGCAGCCCCCCCCACCAGCCTGCTCCTCGGCACTGAACCCTCCCCATCTCTCCCTGCTTTGCCCTCCTCTGGAAGTGTGGGGCCCACAGCTGCCCTCCTCCCTTCATGGGAGACTTCCCTCCCAGGAAATGGCCTTGCCCTTCCTCTCCCATGGCCATGCTGGCCCTGGAGGCGCTCGGGCCACCCCAGCCCCCAGGGCCTTGCCCTTGAAACAGGGCTGTGAGCTGTGGAAGCTGGGAGAAGGCTCCAGGAGCTCTCTTTGGAGCCAGGTTTTATAGCAAGGGGCTTGTTCTTGTTGGCCCACAAAGGCATGGCTGGGCAGGGGCTCGGTATGCAGCAGCCTTAGTGTACTGGGCAAGGGCCCGTGTCCTCCTGCTTTGTGCGGGCTCTTCAAGCACCTGCCAGGCTGCAACAGCCACTGTGTGACCCTTCACCCAAGGCATCCTGCTATCTCCAGCCCCACCGAGATGCAGCTCTGGACACGCTGCTGCCACCCGACTGG